CCTCCAGAGCGGTTCCGCGTATCCAAAACATGTACAATCATTAAAAGGATCCTATGGTTTATCGATCTTGCGGATATATCCGGAATGTATTATATTAGTTTAACCAAATGCTTCCAAGACTGAGTATAAGCAAAACATACGTTTTGAGCTAAATGCGCGTACTCTAAAAGCGTCATTCCTAATAATTATGTTTACTCGATATAGCCGCCGTTCGCCTCGATCATATTGATCTAAATCTCTTACAAAATTTAAAGTAATTCTACAATCAGTGATGTTTGTCAGTTTGTCGTTCTACAATCAGAAAGATTTGTTAGACGCTCCTTCAATCACTTTCCACATGTAGCAATGTCAAGTAATAGTAAGTTAAATCTAGATTGTGCAGCATCGCAGAATATGCCCATCTGCTCAAGTAGCTAAGCGCGTACTGACCGATTAGTGTAACTTAAGGCTTCCGGCCTGTTTGAAGATGTTTCTGCGACTGATCTCTCAATATAAAATAACTTCTTCTCAGAGAAGTATCGAGAACGATTCGCTACTTCACGTTTACGCAAACGACACCGATGAAATCTTTTAGCTTCTTTGCTTTCAGAAATATATTCGTTTGACTTTCTTGACAGATAACGTGGGCCTGAGGTCCTAGTTAACAATTGTTGATGCGGTACAGATCCACAAAACATTTATTTATCAATGACCTAATAACAGCGGAAAAATTGTCATAAATTTACCTTTGGACATCTCCGGTTAGCTGTAGAGTTCACAGTGAGTTTTGTCTGCCGTAAATTGTCTACCGAGCTGTGCTAGGATCGACAGATAAATATTTACAGAAGAAATGTACTACCTTGGATTTGTTGCGTATGAGGAAACTGGATAATTGCTGATCTCGGCTAAAAATCTATGGCAGAATACAGTTCTCCGCGATGGCTGCAAGTTTATCTACCTGAAACAAGTTTTCATCAAACAAGGACAAGTGCATTCGTGAGGTCGCAAGCCAAAAGTCAAAAGCAGTCCTAATTTAGTCGTTGCACTTTGTATATATACATATATAAATGTAATAAAAACTGAAAATGTTACGGTATTGAAAAATCAGTGTAGTGGTAACAGAGGTACTTCTTTTTTGTGAGTTCAATGAAATCGATGGATATAAGATGGACAGGTCCGTTTAAATGCAAAACCGTACTAATACTGAGTAGATCAATGATATAAACGGAAATATAAGCATATTATGCTATAGAAATATTACAATCACGTATCATATATGAACACCTTCACAGATGATTTAATAATGAAAGGTCGGTACGGTTTTCAAAAACGCTAAGATGAACTTCGGACCTCAACGCCTAATGTACCTCTTTGTCACTATAACAAATCAATTATGTATACATGTTTTTGTCGTCAGAGAGTGGCTAGATAGGTTAGAGATTAATCTTATTTAAGGAAAAAGCGTTTGTTTATCTACACTTTTTGGAGTTACTTAGACATCATGCAAAGGTCACCATGTTTATCGGCATTGGCTGTTGTGGAAATGTGTGCTCATATATCCTATTTCTGTGTAATGCGGGTGGCTCCTGCAAATGCTTCTTTTCAAATGCTAAAATAAACCGTAAATAAACGAGCAAAACACAAGGATACTTGCAGTATTTGGAGGTAAATAAAATACGATTGTATCTATGGTGCACGGCGCCTGAACTTGCTTCAATAATGTCGGATGTGTTATGCTTGATAAGCCGTAGTTTACCTCTATTAATAGTATCATGAGATCCGGTAGATTAGGAAACAAACTAATCAACGGGCCCCAATGAATGTTACACGGCACGTATCCATTTACTTTTTGATGGCCTATCTATGAAAAGGTCATGCATGACCTTCCGACCATTAAATTACAGGGTTACCGCAAAACAAATACTTATAGCGACCCAGACAAATGAGACCGGAAAAGGATCCAGACAAATGCACCGTCCAACTCGACAGCCACCAGGTAATTATACAAAATGAATGGACCCACAGTTAATCTACTATAAAATGAAACGTATGCTCGATTTAGTGTGTCTTTTTCGTAATACCAGCTAGGATTGATATAGGTGACAGTTTGCCGGTTTCCTTTCTTACGTTTAATTAAAATTCAACGCTACCCCATGAAGTTTATCATATAAAGCTCTCGGAGCAGTAGAAATTTCTCAATTCAGATCTTACGAGCGAAATGTTCGGAAGATTTTGCGAATTTATGGCAACTTATGTCCTGATAGAGTCTCTTACATAGATTATCATTATCTGGTTTATGCCGAAGAACACCATATGGATTATGCGTTTATTATTCGTTAACTAAATCATTAGACAAAGAACGCATTTAATGAAAAAATCAAGACTGTCGAGTCAAAAATTGGTTTACATAATGAGCTACCTAAAGTCTGCTACCTAATGTAAGTATATTTTTTTAGAACGTTTTTTCTGCAATCCTCTCAAATGACAGCCGTTCGTCTTATATTACTTCAGTAGTTTCCCTTTTCAATAGATATAAATTTGGAAAAGTTGCTTGGACAATCTGTTTCAGGTTTTTACCCTGAAACGCTTAAAATATTTTCAATTTTAGTCGATAGAATCGCTGCAGAACTTGAAATCACATTAAGTTCTACATCAAGAACTTAAGCTAGTATAACTTTGATGGCTACTAGCAGGAAATGATAATAGGTAACGAAAGGAAACGAGGACGTTTGATCCCTAAAGTAGAGTTTGAAGTATCGAATACTCGACGTCCACGATGAAATGAACCAGCTGAAAGATGTAATCTACATTTTGCATACAATCGCTAAAAAAAAAAAAAAAGAAGAAGAAAAAACAAAGTATAAAATCTACTTCTTCTGTATCCAGTTAGTTGCGTTTTACCGTCAAGTTCTCATGAGCTTAATGCGCCGAGTCCAAGGCAAGCTAATAAGGATCGACATGGTTGCCTCTATGGGCGCTAAGGTAGCGTTTTGTCGTTAACACTATGGAGTTTAGGTTATAGGTGCGGTTCTGCTGTTCCACTCATAACTAGCATACTTATTGTTCGTGGTAATATCTTCTACGAAAGATGCTATTAAGCTGGAGATGTCACGTCGCTATACAACCTTATTTCGAAACGGTCATGCAAAAAGCGCTGTAAAGTATTTCATGCGATTCCTTTATTTTTCTCGTACTGCCATAATGGCGCGTTTATCTCGCGATTTTGTTTTAATCTCTATTTGCAATTATGTGTTAGATTTTTCCTTGTTTCAAGAGAGCATAACACATTTAGGTAACATCTTCACTTAATACCCTTCCCTAAAATTTGCCCCGGGAAGGAGCAATTTGAAGCCTATCTCTGTCGTACCTTGACTACTGGGCAGGCCAAGTTGGCTACCTGGATCGCCTCCATTGTCATCATAACGAATACCCGTATCTCTTTGCCCACGTAACGCCAGCGCGAGGGCATATCTCGCATCCACTTGCACCGGCCACTTTAGTCCGTCCCCGGTTTGAACGGCAGTTCCTACCATCGTCACACACTTTGACGCAGTAAACGGCGCATATCAACGCCATAAATACATATGGCCCTGCTAAAGAAAAAAAAAACTAATATCTGTATCCTTAATCTATATCGTTTCAACCATATATCAGCTGGATAGCGGCAGGAGATATGGGAATATTCTGACCATTGCACTAGGCCAATCTCTGGTCCGGCATTGACGGCAACGTTTTACAGGATCGAATGCGAGCAATTGCATGGGTTGAGAGTACGCCAACATCCACACCCATGTTTTCGGATAGAGAAGGGCACATTTTATGGTTCTAAGCTGTAATGTCTAAGAACGCACAATAGTCGATTTTACGCCCTGACTGAGTGACAGACTCGTAATTGTGTAATATGGCGAACTACGGCCATAACGGATCGCACCAAGTAGATTAGGGCGATGCATCGGACAACTTTATTTTGGTCGTTAGCCATTCAAAAGCAAGAACGTAAAATACGTGAAGCAAAGGTTTTTACTTAATTATGTAAATCGAAATATTCTGAAGTGTTCGAAGTGAATCGAGCGCGAAAAAAAAGGCTACAAGTCTGCTTATTTTGTAATTAACTCTGCGTAGTAATTTACGTGCGTTGTAATATAACCATGTTGCTATTTTCTTTTAGATAGCTTTGTTGTTGGCGCGATATCAGTACATTAAAATGAATTTTAGAGTCAACCTAGGTTTGGCTCAGTAATTCATATCGATGCGTTGCTACACCGATAAAATTGGTTTGCCTTTACCAGTATTCGTCTATTTCTCCTCGGCTGAATATAAATTACGCGACTTCCGCCGCCGATCAGTCTGTTGCAACCGTATTCTGTAGCGAACAGAATTTACTCGGAAATCAGACGCCAGATGTAGCGTGTCAAACAAACGTAATTGTTTCACGTACGATTTTAGAACTGCAAAAACTGCTTAGAAGCATTTATGACATGCAAAGATGCCAGTCGGAGACCGGAGAACGCATCATGCCACAGTTGATTTACTTTTTTTTTTTACGGAAGGTGGTTCTAAAGGAAAAAAAATTAAACGTTGCCCTCTAAACCCTTATCAAAAATTACTACTCATGGTTTGAGAACAGTCTTTTTTCAGGACTTCCTGGCCGTAAACGCAGGATCAAAATCTAGGTAATGCCTTTCAGAACGTGCTCCGGCCTCTAAATCAAGGCACCTATTTTTTCAACTTAGCAGATTACCTGCAAGTAATTCTGTCAATCCGGTTGTATACCTTACAAATGTCGAAAGCAGAAAAACAAGGCGTTCTTGAGCCCAATAGAGGCATCCCTAATCCTTAAATGGTCACATATCTCTGAAGCTAAATTCGTTGCCAATGCCACCGTCATCACAGGTTTTCGTGAACTGTTCATCGTTCGCGTGTCACAATCATACTATCAAATAGAACCTGCTTAAGGTTACCAGAGCCGTTGGTGCAACTACTATTATAAAATGAGTGAGTGAAATGAGATTTTGTCTTACCTGAACAAAATACAGGAGAGGCTGAAAACAGAACAAGGGAAAACTGGCAGTACTACTGGAACAGATCAAGATTTATGAGCGTATACATTCATGCTATGTGGCACCCCACTAAGACGAAGAAGCGGCGGTGTCAAGGTAATGCTTGATTAGCGTACGCTTTGAGTGCGAAAACTGCCGTCTTTTTCGTCTGATGAGAAAGAACGAGTATTCAGGCGCTACCGTGCCCTCGTACTAAGCATGCCATTCATCACGCGCGGCTCGGATCAGACAACGGAACACACTATGCAGCCCTTTGTATTCGCAGAGAATGTCACTGGGCCGTTCAGCCGTTACTATACCTGTATAGTCTATCCGACGACTCGATGGTTAGATGTCTCAGGAAAAGATATGTTCGCTCGCAAATGGGGTCATAGGTGACTGTCCGTGATGGGGCGAACCGGAGATTGGCAGAAGCTGGGCTGGGAAAACTGCTCCGCTAAGAGCAATTCAATAGCGCATTTCATTATTCGGAGTTCACTTATAACTCACCTTATCGATATCCTAAAAAAAAAAGGAGTTTTAGATAAAATTCTTTTTCTAGGTGGCACATTTGTAGTAAAGTTCTCACAGTAGTAGCACAGGTAATGTTTACTATATAATATAAAACTGTTCATTTAACTAGCTAGAGTTGGGAAAGCTGTATGTAGCAGGACATATGGATTTTCTACTAGAGATTTTATGCTCTGCTCAATTTTTTCCGATTCTATTAAAGGAATCCTGATCGGCGATTTGAGAAGTCAGAACAAAGATCGCGCAGTTTCAATGGCGATTACTGCGACAGGATGTATGCAAAGGCACTGATGCTGAATAAGACTGGGTGTCATATTTTGGTGCAATTCATCAATCTGCTTTGTCCGACCTACAATATAATAAACTTGAGCAACGTAAATCTGAACCGCGAACTCGATCAACACTGACATGCCCTCGGGACCAAAGGAATTCTATCTGATGGAACTCTGCGATAGCAGATGGTATCTGCGCCACTTCAAGCCCGAATCAACGACCGGTTCTGACTACGCAGCTGAATTTCAATTCAAGAACAAGTCAGACAAACTAAAATCTCTCAATGGATGAGAAGCTTGCCAATCTCAAATCGAGACGAACGGCACGATATATCAAACAGCGCCGTTCTCGTGGTGATCACGACAGAATGTAAGAAATATAGGTAACATATATAATAGCGCAATCTCGACTACAATAGATGCTTTAAGTTAAGTTAGTTATCGTGTGCCAACAACTCCAACGGTTTTCCACCAGTTAATTTTAAGGGGAGATGTTAAAGGCAACCGAAAACGATTATAGTCAGAGATAAGTTAGTAGGAAGTTCCAATACTTGGCAGCCAAGCAGGGTTAGTATGACCACAAGACATCATTCTATTTTCATTCTTTCTGTCAAAACCTATTAAAATCAGTAGCACTTTTGATACCCTTACAATATAATACATTATATCTTACTTCATGTGGCTTCATAAGCGAAAAGGCCCTTTTTGCACGATGTAATATATATAAAAGCATGCGTACAAGAAGCGCTATCCTATTTCTTAAGGACCTCTATATGGTTCTACGTTAATGCAAACACTTAAACTTTTCTTCTAAAAATGGTAACGTATTTCTTCTACTGCCAGAGCCTGCTACGCAACTGAGGACAATGGACAATGGGGCAATGAGTCAAAGGAACATTTATCGTTAAGTGAAATTCATTATGATTTTTTTTTAAAACCTTTTATTAGCTAGGGGACTGAATGGACAAGCGTCGTGCAACTGCTTACTGAAACGTTTGAAAATTCTACTTAACGTCCGTCGTTTTAGCTAGGAACCCAGTTATATCTGAAACATGAAAAAGACCAGTCTAGATGCTAGATAAATCATCTACTCATGTTGTAGATGCTACTGAAATACACTAATTACATACGAATAGAATAAAAGGACCCGCATATACTTAAGTAGGACAATCTTGGGTATTATTCAAGGTTTAGATCATTACTATGACCTAATCGATTCCAGCCGGTAGATAAACGTCACCTACCTGGGTCGTCAATGAACGAGATTAATCTAAAACCATACATAGGCCCAATGCACTCTCCCTACCCCCACGGAAAATGATGATAGCCTTACAAAGAAGTAAATATAAAAGTAAGTTATAAAAGATTCTTACAATTCGTATTGTGTACCGCAACTAGGAAACCGAAATACTCGGTAGAGAATGTCAAAAAACAGTCATTTCTGAAAAATGAGGACAGATAGATGCGATCGTGAAGTATTGCTTGTCTATGTAGTGAATGACACTACGCTACTGTATATAACAGTCTTGATAGGCGGCTCCTCACTCACAGTCAGTAAAACGCATCGCTTTTATTCAAAGCCGAATGGTGCTCAGGCCGCTGGGTACGCGTGCACACTCGTGATACTTTAGGCTTCCTGGCCCACCATGACTGCGCAACCAGGAACATCATTATGAGCATAATCACATAGCATTGGAGTGGCCATTCGATAACAGAGTGGGTCGTCATTGACTTCCTACATTTGCAACTTACTTGGTCATTATAGACTAGAAATCGTCATAATGCTGTATGTACATTTTACAGTATAAAATAACCTAAAGTTTAAAGACCGTCACGAGTTGATTTAGCTAGTCTTCTCATTAATGGTCGCTCGAACGGTTGCCGAACAGACTTCTATTAGTTGGGGGAAACGAGGGTTCGCAAAATTGTTTTCCCCCTAGAATTCCGCCACCTACACCGCTTAGCGTGTCTAGGAAGAGACAAGAAGAAACAATCGATGCCACCAAACTTTAAGCAGCTCAGTCACCCAGAAGTTAGCCAGCTTAAGCATAGACATATTACTGCAATAACCAGTTTAGGCTAATATTAGTATTGACAACTTTTCAGGTAGCTGCACATTTCTTAATTGATATATAATATATTTGTTCATTCTAACAACATTTGATTATGGAATTCTTGTATCATCTATCTATCTATCTATCTTGATCAAATTTTATGGAAAACGACTCTGCGGAAACGTGGTGCACGTCTCATGTATCTCTTTTTATATTTAATACTCACTTCGCTGGACAAAACGTGTCCGAGTATATTACGTAGCGACAGCCGTTAGTGCAGTGCTTTTGTGCTGACACGAGCGGCGGTTGTGCCTTCAGGCCAAGGTAGATATGTGGCCTGACTCGGTCTGGAAGGATTAGTGAAAGAAGGGATCCGTGTAATCTCGCCAAAGAAATAACGACGAATTGGCCAACCGAAGTGGGTGGGTTTTAGCCAAAGCTGTAGCCGACAGCAGCAAAAAGGCCAAGTGGACCGATTAGAGACACTCGGCGAAGAGGTGATTGTTGCTCTGGTGGAGTTTGACAACGAAGATTAAGGCTCGCTCAATGAGTAGTAGAAGCACTCCGGTACGGTTACACTTAGCAAGAGACGAGTGGAGTTTGATCTGCTTGCCAGTAGTGAGGGCTCGGTAAAGACAGATCGAGAATCAGGACAACGTGCCATGTAGGGTGAGCGCATACGTAATTGCGTTTATGCTTTATGCTATACGATATAATGACCCAGCTACGCAATAAAAGTGGTGGCATAGAGAACTCACTATAAGGACGACTGGATCCTAGGTTCAATGCACCCACGCCATTGAAGTACTGTCTGATCATAAAAAGGGGGGGAAATTGAGATACAGCAAAATGTAATGATAAGTCTAAGATTTCAGTATAAAAATAAGTGGCATATTAGAAAATTGAATAGAAACAGGTATTGCTGGAAAATGGCTTCTTAGGGAGCGATGTGTTGGTAAAGGCCACTAGAGCATGCATTTTGATTCGCGTTTCGCAATTAATTAAAAATATATTTTAGTAAGCACTTATTACCTATTAAACTAGGACAAATTGTTAAATTAACGCATTTGTGTTTTTAGGATTTCGGTTCAGACTGCTATCGTAAAGGATCATCGCTTTTTTAGCTGTTTACAAAAGTAAACATCCTATTAGCCCATGAACTTTGAATTTTGCACGACAGCGAATGCTCTAAATAGGTCGGACAATGCGCAAAAAAATTGCCAATGATAACTTCGGTTGGCTAGAAAGATTTTTATCTAAGCAACTTTTGCGAAGACTGACGCCGAACATGTAATTTACAAGCCTATACAGTTCCTAGTAAAGATCGTACGTAGCTCCTAACTTATACTCTAACTATATCTCACTTGATACATCGCATTCCTATATCGTCAACATTTACTAAAAGCTTGCTACCGTATGATCAAGCCCAATCACGGACCGCTATCACCGGCTATGCCTCATTGTGTATAACCATTGTATTGATAAACAAGAAAAACGGAATGATCCATATTTGTCTATAGGTTTGTATAGAGGCTAGCGGTAAACGTCCGAAACTTAATTATCCAGTATATAAGTGTCTACTCAGCGCTACGCCGGCAAGCGTTAATCGTACCCCGTCTAAGCTTCCTGCCTTGTCAAGTCTAACATGATTCAGTCTTCTAGCATGAGGATATAATCACAATGATTGGCTAGTCGTTTGCTTTTAGCTTCCAGTAAATATGTCCGGTCTGTTTTAAGCTGAACGGAAATTAGCCAAGCATCACATTTTTCATTAACTACTTGGCAAGCATTTCCCGCTAGCCACCTGCTGATAGCGACAGGAGATTGCGGTAAACTCATAAAAAAAAAATAATGGGTAGATAAATTAACGATAACGATACCAAAATTTCTGATACGATTTACGTAAGTCACGTGTGTATTAGAGGTTGCATTTATTCCGGTCGCTCACCTATTGATGATTCCGTGTGTGTGTGTTTATGAACTGTAGTCGGTGTCACATACGGTTTATCTCAGCTTGGAGAGCAAACTTTTCCAAATAGTTATTACAAAAATGTTTTACAGAATTTTGTGAAAGTCATTGAGATGCGTCTTTGACGTGTGCTTCTCTACAACTGTCCAGTTAAGACTGAAAGTCCTATGATTCGCATGATTAATACGACAATACCGTGCAAAAACCATGGCACGAAATCGCCAAAGAAATGGTGTTTACCTGGTAGTTGATGAAGTTCATATAACTGTTATAATAATAAACAGTTGGGAACGGATTCGACAGCCTTCGCTCCCAACCGTCTATTTTTTTTTTTATCTATGCGTTAACATTTTATCTATGCGACGAAGTTTGCGAACGAAAACCGATTGAATTTACTTCAATATAAGATACGAAGAACTAAGGAAAAACATTTTTTTTAATCGCAATGATAAACACTCAGAGGTCAAGTTGATGCTTTTCGAAGATCACAGCACTGGAGAAATCTCTGGCAGAGCGGTAAAGATATTAGCCAAAAGCACGGTATGTAAATGGTGCAGACGTTTCAAGGAAGTAGATTAGAATGTTGAGGGTTAGTGATGAAAATGCATTGCCACAAGCTTTGCATGAAAGTAGAGTTTATAATCTAAGGACGTTGTAGGCCAAAACTTGTATTTCACATGTAATCCGTCGCAGAACTGTAGCACAAATGCCGAAACTAAATAAAAAAGAATTGGTCCCCATAAATTGACACCAGGCCACTTAGAAATGCGTGTGGCACAATTTTCAAAGACGAAATTAACAAAAACGCATACGGTTGTCGTAGATGATAATGGTTCGATCTCTGCCGCCAGCCACCCAGAAGAGAAACTGGGTTCGTGGCAATATTGAGTAGGCTTGGGTGTGTAAGGTGATAGTTGTCTGCGCACTGGACATTAAAAGCATTTGCTACCAAGAACGGCACCATGAATGCAGCTCGCTATCTCGAGTTCCTCAAGTGAGAGCATGCAATTTGGTCAGACTTCATTCCCATGCCCAGCTTACTTTCTGGGTTGAGCAGAACCTCAGCTTGCCTATTCTCCCGTGTGAATTCAAAGCTTCTTATGCCCTAAAAAAGCTAACTGGTGGGATAAACATATACGACTATTGATTTACTTTGAGATGCATGAGATTGACGAATTACATGTGTGAGCGCTAATGAGAGGTATATAAGCGTCCAGAAGCCGAGGTAAGTATCTAAGAAATAACGACGGGTACCTCAAACACGTATTAAAATGAATCGTCGTTATAGCCCAACGATAAATCAACCAACAATAGTAATTAGTATTATTAACTTTCCAGTATAGGAACTAAACTTGCGAGCGCTTTTCAATGCACAGGGTTATAGTGAATATTTATAAAATTTACCAACCTCCTGTTTTTACTATATATATATATATATATATATATATATATACGAATACATGCAAATGTGAAGCGCTATAATTGCATTTCCTACAAGCATGTGCTCAAGGCGAGGGGCAAGAGTAATGTCATTTATTGTTTCTCAACCTCGAGGTTGCTTCTGTGCGTCAGATATTGAGGTTATGTTTCTCCTAATTAGCTCAGAAGGCCCCGATAGACCCGCGGATATATTAAGCGTTTGGCATGTTGTCCTGCATAACTGCTGGTGAAAAAGTTGGGTCGCACTCAGTTCGCAGGCTATGTTTAGAGAGGCCTTGCGAGAGCAAATACAAATACAGTGAGGACAACCACTAACAACAATCTTAAAAATAATAGAGTTGTACAGGCCTGTCTTGTACGCAAAAAATTATAACAAATATTGTAGGAGTTTTGTTAGTAAAAGCTGTCGACCAGTGATGAGCTGCACGACGATAGAGATAATCCTTATGGTTTATACTATCGCTATGCGTGTCAATTGATTGCATGTACAATACTATTTCTTAATTTAACAAAATCAACTCTTTGGCGTTGTAAGCTCGAATTTCTATCGAAAACCTATCACTACTTATTCCACGAAGGTGAACTATGCCGTGTAGAGGGAATACGTCAAGTTCTAGCACTGTCATATGTAAAGGTTAAAAAAGTTCGGCCCTCTACCATATTTAGCCCAGTGAAACTTAACCAAATCTTTTAGATAGATAGATAGATAGATAGATAATTACCCCGTGGGGGATATCTGCGCGGAAAATGGGTTATTCGGCTTTAATTGCAACCGAACTTTGTCTCTAGATCCGTCCATCCGGTAGCACTGTTCGTCTGGGAGGTGCCACGACGTCGACTTGGATTATCTTGCTTTCGGTAAAAGGGTACAGTGTAACATTGGGAACGAATGATTGAGCCGCAGCGTCAAAAAAAGAGAGACGTTGATCGTTATGATAAAGGAAGCTCTATGTTGCATGTTGCCGAAGATCAACATTATTTAGAGATTCATACTTATCGCCGCTCAATGGATATGTATTGATATACAATTTTTTAATGTACTTTAAATTGAGTCGTTTTAAAAAGTTGTTAAATCTATTTTAACGTTATCAGTTTTGCTACCCACCCTTCCACCAGTTTTCATAATTAGAGAAAAAAAAAAAAAAAAAAAAAGTAATTTCTAATTTAGCTTGGGAAAACAAGGTACTTCAGTGTTGTTTCTGATGATTTCGGAAATTTGCAACCATTTGTACCAATCTAAACCAGGACAACTGTGCGAACTAAATTTTTTTATAGCTGCAAAAAATGTCCTTCCAATCGGTCATGTACCTATATAAAACAATAAAACTACCATGTATCGCGATTACAAATCCTCGATTCAAAACTTACATATAGTTCTCAAATGGTTTTTTAATAGCAGTAATTTTGTATGCTATTGGTGTATAGGAACTTGCCTAAATGTCGCTCAAATATGCTGCATACGAAAAATTGTTACGAACCTAAGCCTTAGGCTGATAATAGGTCAAAGATCTTACAAGTACAAGGGCTCAAAATGGCCGAGAAAATCTTAAAAGGGTCAAAGACACCTCTTTTCAGTCTTTTCACTAAATTTTCGAGCTCTTTAAATCTCAACCATAATAAGGATCTTCCGGTTTTCTGCACGAAAGTTTTCCTCGAATTCTGCAGGACTCGTATGAAAATTGACAATGATGTTACGTAACAGAAAGGAACCTTTTAGTTTTGATGAAAGGGTCGCTTAGCATAGAAAGATTGGATAATGGCTGACCTTTACTTCTGAATCACCGATTCAACGTAACATTTTAGATAGATAGGTAAAAGAGGTTTAGGAAAATAAAAAGGCTTAAATTCTATTTGTTTTTATTAAAAGAATAGCCTCTACCCGCGTCTACACATTTGTGCAAGCGCTCATTCGAATCCAGAAAACAATTTTACAACGGGCTTTCTTGAACATATTTTGTTTCCCTTAATGATTCTGACTTAATGTTCCCAACGTTATCAAAGCGCCACTCTTTTAAAGTTCTTGACAGTATAACTTTCTTCAGCCTCGGCTCTTCAGAAAGCTTTCATTGGGCGATTGGTATTTAGTTTCGATACCATAAACATATTGCCATGTCCCATTACCAGTTTGCACAGCTCTGACTCCTCGTTAACTTCGTTTGATAATTTTTGAGCAAGCTTTATTTGGCACGGGATGTTTTCGGTCGGAATTCAACAATTTTGCAGTCTCTTAGTTCATGCCCAAAACAGTCGAAAAGCCTGTTGAGCATGAATTAAATGGTAACCTAATATCGTCATCAACCTCTTGGATATCGATCCGATAATCGTTCATAATGATTTCTTCTACCTGTCAGACGTTGTCGTCAATTCTTGATTCCCTGAGACGTAAAGATATTCGTCATCTTCGATTTCTTCACGGTTCCCTTGAGAAAGGGAAAAAGGTTTCTACCATTTGCAAACATCTTCAATACGGTGGTATGCTTTTTCTGTTCTTAAAATAAAATTTAATGCAAATCCTCTTTGTTCTCTTTTTGCCACGCAATAGTATAAGCAACGTTTCTGTGAACGTAAACAAAAGATACGGCCGAAAAGAGTGCATCTACGTAACAACAAAACATTTCGGCAACTCCATGGATACGACCTACGGAATTTTAGAATTGTGCGATTTTTTTTAGTAAATCCTGTATGTATCATAGGAATGATTTTCTCTGGTCGATAAATAACAATTATAACAATTAGTCTTATTGGGAACTCAACCGGGTGGTCAGCGAAAGGTTTCCCAAGGAATGAGGTAAAGGAAAGAATGGATTTCGTATAGATGGGTACGATTGGAAACCAATACGTCCGGTTAAAGATCGGGAAAATCGACATACGACAAGGGATGATAATAATGGGGCAAAACAGCATACAATGGTAACAGCAGGCTATTAAAACTAGACCCCTCTTAGAAAATTGCATACTAGCTGGGGTGTCCGTAGAAAAATAATCCGTACTTTACGGGTGCACTATTATGCGCAATATGTGGTACATGAAACGGACGAATGCCGAAAACTACATTGTTGTTCAGTTACGCTTTAAATACCTCACACGAGTCGTATTATACATTCCCGTCGTATAATTCAATGCCAGAGCAGCTGGAAAATACCGTCGATATGTATCCGAACTTACGACGCTGCGTAATTTCGAATTTCGAAAAAGTCTTGGATAAATTTTGTTAAACAGCCGTACATGTCAGCTTATCGTAGTCTACGCAGTTATCGCCTATCGCCAAAGTGCGAAAATCCGTGGGAGAGATAGGCGTCACCTAATCACCTTGATTTAACCGTGAGAATATAGATCCTCAATCTTCGTAGAATTGATGGCCCCGCTCGCTGACACATTCTGTCGATCTGCGCTCTGAAGACAGTTGAACGTATGCTAATACCCGCTTGTAGCAGGGCCAGTTTCCTACAAAAAATTGACATCTATTACTTGTAGCACAGAGGAAATAAGTCAGCTGATTGTTTCGCTAGGGATTAAAACACAAAGGGCTTCGTTGGCCGCGATGCCACTGTTTGACAGTAGCAGTGAAGTACTCGTATATAATGCATATTGTCTCACGCTTTACACTATGTTATTTGTACTAATTCGACAAGACCATAAAGCGATCTTCGCAGATTCCGTACCCATGTCGTTCGTACTATGTATACGCGACCTTATAACAAACAGGCAATTTAAAACAATCAACTATATTCAAAAAGTTTAATTATTTTCGTCTGAAAAGAAAGCTTGGAACTTACCGTTTAAACAGTTCGTGATTGATGGACATCTAATATCAAGGGCGAGTAGCGCTTGCGATAGCATATATTCGCTAACACAAATGTGTGCCCGATTTGTTAAAACTTGCACTTGCTCCATACATATCCATTGCTTACGATTTTAGTTGGGTCAACGTAAATAATTCCCTCCAACTCCATTCCAATACGAATCCCTCAAACTTTCAAATAATACGAGAAGCGTCCCAGTTAAATAAAATGCCTTTTTAGTAACACTGTCAATGGTATCCACCTACCACAGGCATCTAATACTCAACAATTCGTAGATAGAGTAAATATCAAGTAGAAAAGACTTTTCTGCATAATCTAAAGCCACTTTAGATTATTCTAACACTTTAATTTTATTGTTGCCTAAGATGAACACTAATGTACATAAAGAATTTTGTATGTTGAACGTTATTTAACTGTTGGTCTAATAAAAGGCGGTTTATATGGTACTAGTAAAAATAGGCTCGCTTCCGCACCGTTGGATTGAGCTTTCAAACGCAAGACTAAACAGGGCCTGCACATAGGCATCAGAGACAATCCTTTATCACACTCACAAAAACGGTTGATGTTATGTCTGTTTATCACAACGGGGATTTCTGCAACGGCCTGTTAGAAGCCATTATGTTAGTGTATAATGAAATGAAATGGCCAGCTAATTTCGGAATACTCCGGATTTCGGTTAAACTTCTTTATAAACACGGCACTATAAGCGTTTCTGTTAACTATGACGGTCATGTGTAATTATGGTTACCGCATGTGAATATAGCGTTGTAAAGAATTCTGCTGTTTTCGATCTTTTGGAACCTATTGTCCAATAGACGTCCACTCAGAGACTTCAGCTCATCGACTTTTACCTTTGCCAGCTTACCTTTGCCAGATTCTTCAGGCCGCCGTTACAATGTGACGGTTGAGTGATTATCGAACACAACAATGCACTTGCTTAAATGTCTTACGTGAAAACCACTGCGTAAATACTTTGCATTCGGCGCTTACTAACATCTTTTATATAGTAACGGCTTTCTGTACGTGAGCATGCAAGGGTAGAAATGGGTTCGCTTGGGCTCACAGGTAATCGCCACTGACAAAACGAACCCGTCTTTACGGTTAAACCTGCTAACCTCCACACGAAAACCTGAACGTCGATAATAATATTGAACGAAGACCAATAAATTTCTGCTAATAATGTACTACATTGTACAGCGCGACATAAAGGGACATTCCTAAATACAAACTTTGTTATTATCATAATTTCAGCTGTTTCAACCTGACATATTTTTGTGAGTTTTTGCCGGCAGTAAAATCAAATAAACTGCAACACCGATACATATCATGACAAACAAATAGGGATGATTTAGATCAAATACGTGTATGGGCGTGACGATGCTTTTCGATGAACCTTATATAGTACACTACGAAGTATCATGGCAAACAGCTGTGTAGACCGGATCTCTGATGCAGAACGACCTCAAACGTGGAACGATTGCATCCGTTAATAACAATTTCGTATCTCAAATATGATACTCGTATCACGTTTTCTAATTATATTACTTGACCGATTTTTTTCTCATTTTAGCTTAAAACGATTCAGCATCTTGTGACAATGGCTCACACGTACTGTTTTAACCAGCCAGCAGCTAGATAGCCACATAGCCCTTGTAACGAAATATTTACCTAGGAAGGATATGGCGTAAACCACAAGCTTTGTGTAGCTTTCATCTGCGTTTAGGTTTTAAGAAATGAATCCTGTCAAGGTGCTCCTCGAAGACGCTGCGAAATTTCCCCATAGTTTTTTTTATAATAGCTCTCAACGACTTCGTCCGCCGTACGGGCTACCCCAGTGCGTAGCTGTACCAGGGCGGCCAATTCCAAGAGCCGCCATCGTGTAAATTACAAGAACCACTGCTCACGTTTCTCTTATCTCTGTACAGGCAGCGATTTACTTAATAGAGAACATGATCAATTTAATTTGCGGAATATACATACAACAAACAGGCTGCTATTTTGGAGAAAGCCATTTTTTTTAGCTTAAAATGTTCCCCTTGGGTGTACGCCTGTAAAGGGAAACATTTCCACACTGCCGTGGTCTGTTTCCGAGTGAAATCCTAATTGTATAAAAAAAATACCCACTCTAAAGCCCACATACAGTAGCTATGTATATTTCATAGTATGGGATTGCCCATTCCTACCCCCCAATTGCTCCTTCGTAACTGACGACAGCTTTCTGCATCCGCTTTGCCTTGCTTCTGTGCCGTAGGCTAGCGGAGTGTTCGGATCTAATGTTTAACTAAAACCCCCACTGAAAAAAAATACAACGGCAGGGGTTACTATGGTAACGATTTACTTTCAATGAGAGTACGGGATAATAGACTTATGGGTATGGAAGAGTGTGGCCAGTGCGTATGTTGAGCTCCAATCGTGCACTAGAGCTAGATGAATACCTATATATAACTAAAAAAAATAAGCTTAAATATTTATTGGTAAAATGGTTTAGTAGCATTATATGTTGATTCGGCGATCGGTAATACGATATATATATATAAGTTAGTATAAACATAACAATTTTAGTGACCCTGACACAAAGATGGATCAGATCTGGACAAATGTCTTTAATGGATGAACAAGAAATTCAGATGGATAAAATTCGCTAGGGTGCCATTTGTCATCATCGATTGAAATGCCAAAGCGCACAGATCGCAAAACTAGGAGAATCCAATGCAGAAAGGGTGCTGTTTGGTTCTTTTTCAGGATGCAGGTTCAAAAAAGGAGGAGAGAAGTCGCGATGCAGGATGATGGTAGCACGGTTTAATTCGAACAGATTTCAACCGGCTTTGCTAAAATTCCGTATTCTTCAGAAGTTGCTACATTGAAGCGATAGAATGTCCGCTACAAAGTGATGATATGTTTGTAGTTATTGTATGAGAGAGAGAGAGAGAGAGAGAGGAGGCAATGTCTTTTACTTAGCTTTCAAAAAATTAATTTTTATCGGGATACAAGTTGCTAATCACTGTATGTCGTATAAGAATAATGTTATTTTTTATAAAATATACCGAATATACTTCAAGCTATAACTGGTGAGATGTTTCAGACCCAGGAAGGTAAGCATTAACGATTAGCAGCTTTTTTAGAGGGATCTTGAATATAGTTTGCTTACTCACGTTACTGTCCTTTGTAACATTTAAAAAAGACGAAGTGATCCTAAAAAAAAAACGTTGACTTTTACGTTAAGAACAGCATTAGCATCAAGTTAAACAGCTGACCTATAAACAAACAAGCTTCTAGTTTTAGGTCCGGTACCGCTTGCGAGTCGGTGCTCGGCACAAAACGGACCATGTTTACCTTCGTTTTTGAGTGAATTGGAGCTTGAGGCTGGTAGGCAAACATTTTACCAGAGCACCATTACAGTGACCTCGTGCTGGCTTTTCGTGGTGGAAGCCAGCGTAAAATAAACGTGACTGCTTTTAAACTTCCATTCCGTCTGATAGAAAGCCCAACAGCGTTAACAGACCTAAGACTTGAAATATTTAGACTTCAACTCAAGGTTCATGTGCGGGACCAGTGACCCCAAAAACGTAACGAGATGTCAGAAAACTATCTTTTGAATCAATAACGATTGTTGTATTAAGGCCTTATAATTTCAAGGATTGGTTAACCAACAGCTCCACCATTTCTGCCGGTCAGAATGTTGGACATGCTGAAGAGTTATTATTTATAAACGGTAAACTTTATTATGTGGGCCTTGCATACCGAAATTCTCCTCTGTATGCAAACTGAACCAAACAGCCTATCGCCAAGTGTTAATAGTTCTAATGATGTAGCTGGCCCTGAGTCGTTCCTCTAGCTATTGTTAACACTACACTGGTGTACTTCATTGCAATGAAAACTGCCTCGCACGTTGGGCTCATTACTGCGGCTCGCGTTCTAAAGAGCTCCACGCGTTTGTATTGAGGTCCCAAATAATATAAACTTGTATCTTTTCGTGTTTACCTCTAATTGTTCCTTGGGCATTTTTGCGTAGCTGCCGCTCTATAGATGATCCTCAGCTGTATAAACTGCTTTTTAACCATCGTACACAGAAAGGAGAACGATGTTATCCCGCTCATCCTATCCTACGTACCAACAATACGCAGCTGCATGCTTTCAGGTGCATAGTCGGACGTAACAATGTCACGCGTGCTAGGGCCGCTCGTACCTACCTGGCACATAGGCCGTTTATAAAATAATCGACTTTGTTACATTAAGCCAAGTGCCGTATACTCGCCGAAAACGGTGCGTCTCTATAGAGCATCTGTTATATTTTGCTTCTAAATTTGTATCTAAACAAAATCAGATATCCAAGTACTCTTTCCTCAACTCGTATGGAATTGTGTGAGAGTGCTCTGGCGATAAACGGTATCGGTAAGCGTAAAGTGTAGCTCAAGCACGCTCTACATAGAAAATTTTAGGCTCATAGCAAGCGAAGAAAATAGCCAAAAGGTTCAAAAGGTGCGAAATGACATATTTTAACCGTCGGACGTTAGTTATTAAGTTCGCAAACATTTTCCAAACGGCAGTTCATCATCTGAACCAGAAGCCAAAATGTATTAAAAATGGCTTCTCGGAACATTTTTAGGCCCTGCAAATTTAGACCCTACGAAAAAGTTTTATTCGTTATTTATTTATTTAGGTTTATTATTACGAAAAGGTTTATAGGAATTTTTCAAAAGTGCCACGAAAGCTAGCAATAACCTGGACTATCGATCTTGGGCAAAGAAGGAAGTTTTAGACTGTAATGAGGGTTCGTTGACGAAAAAGTTAAGTATTAGTTAATCCTCACTCAAATTACGGAAATGATGCACCCTTATATATAACGAATAGTTTTGTTCTAGAAAGAATTGACTTTTCCTTGCTACAACGAACCGCCCGCCAAAATTTTCCTCAATTTAAAGGCATATATATATATATATAAAATTAGTTTCGGTTCATATCTCTTACTTACTGTACCACGCGGAATATGTACAGCCGCTAACTATGACTGTTACGTGTGTTTCCATATTCTGGAGGGATATAGTCATGTCTTTATGGTTTACGATATCTTTTCCATTAGGCATGTTATTACAAAATTGTTTTGTTATTTATATTATCAATTATTATAAGCGTTATTATTTAATCAAGCTTTCAATTGTTTAGCCGTTTCATGTTCTTATTTACTTGAAACAGTACGCAATTTATTACGGTAAACGGGCGTTTATGTCTCCGTTTAATAATCGTTAAGGATCCGGGTGATACAAGGCATAAAAGTACCTCAACCCAAAGCAAAGGGCATCCCTTCGAATGTTTTATCACATAGATTTTTAGGTAAGATCTTCGCTGGGAAAACGCCGAGTTGGGTGGGGAGCCTATACACTGAATTGGCACGTCTGCTATTTTTCGCCCAATGAACTCGATTGGCAGTTGGCGTTGGTCAATATCTTCTAAAAATAACGTCCTCTGCTAAGAAGCCTTCCGGTAACCACCGTTGTTAGCCCTAGATTTCCTTAAAATTCATTTTTACACTTTCCCGAACGTAACAGCATATTGAATCTTGTAGTGATTTTACATCTCAAGCGATTGCCCGTACATTAAGTATTAGGTCATGAATAGATATTCCATGTAGTATGTCTGCTGCAGCTATTGACCTTTGCTTTGGACGGTTAGCCCTGAATACGACACAGAACAGCCGTTACTTGTAAACGTAGATCACCTTACTAAATGTCCTTAACTTTCATAGGCAAACAGCATTGCAGTGGTACGCAGCCCGACTATACGAGACCCAACGGAATAAATATTGACAGAATAGAGACGGGAAATGCGTTGGCAATTTCGAAGCCATCGTACGTCACGTTCTCGGCGAAAAACCAGCTCCTCGAAATGTTTTGGTGCTACCATGAGCTAATCCACACCGACAGGCGTACATAAACGTATCGTATGAAGACTAGACCAATTTGGCGCAGTGGCTTGTTCGACAACAGTAAATCACTAGAAAGTCTGCTTACGTATAAATTGCTCTGTTTCGAATATTCAGAGCCTCTCCTATCCAATTTTTCGACGTTCCGTTAGAACTACTTTTATTTCTTTCGTTGCAGGTATCCATTATCATCTCGTGAGTTGGGGTGTTATACGTCCTCTATAGTTGCGAGAGCTATGGATGAGTTCATCCGACCACGGCAATGACATCCCATCTATCCATCTACAGTCTATCGAAGCCGTAATGTGTCCTAGCACGCCTAAATGGATCGGATCACCTATCTAGAGCCAGGCCTTGTCGCCCTTCTGGAAAACGTCCATGCGCCACTCAGATGACTCCGATGGGAGTACTAAATCAAAAGGTATACAACGTTGAGCGCTTTTATCCATTCCAAATTCACTGTGGGTTGCACTCAACACTGGGCTGTTTTTTCGCGAAGCTCGATTTTGCCTTCAGGGTTAGCTGCGAGCAATGGCATAGACCTTCAAGATGCCCCGAAGCTAAACATATCCTATTGGATTCTAAGCCGCCAGGTTTGTCGAATAAAAAGCCTTCCGGTAGCTTACGCTCATATTTTCAGGTTCACCTCCTCTAGAGGACTGTAGATGCTGAACGGGGTCCGTTTCTTGCATCCGTAATGCTGTCAGACCGCCAAACCCTATAAGGCCGATTTTCGCGATTCCCTGATGCCACCAGTCGTCCCAACGCAGGCGTCTTCCATGTAAGCCTCGCACCTTTAATTTGACTTGTAACCATTTACATTTTGCACCCCTCTAAGGATGTATAATGTAATGGAACGTCGTGGTTTGTAACAGGGCTTGTAAAACATCTATTGATATATCGTTTTTTCGTAGATGATTCCTGTACGGAGCTAAAAGGCTTGTACGACGAGTGAAATAAATGCCCAATAGGCATCCAACCGTATGTTCTACAGATCGAAATATAACTCTGTTTCCGCTGGGAAAAATTAGTCAGTGTGACCTAGGTGTAACGCGGGTGTGGCAGTGTTACGCATTGGATAAGGTAAACAAGGCAAAGTACGAGTTAGGTACAACATTTTGACAGCATAGTGGGCAATACTTCGAAGTATACGCTTTTTTTAATTATACATTTCAATGCAGTGACAGGATAGATGGATGCATAGCGAGTCGTTCAACGCAACATATGCCTTTAGCAAGCCCTTAAAGCCGTGGGCCTAATGCCACTAAATGAAAATGCAGGTTTTAAATAAGTAGAGGCTAATTATAAAAAGATGAAAGATAATAAATAACAAGGCAGATAGATCATAAATAAATAGATTGTTTACCAATAATGTTTTTATTATATATCAAACACGAATAATATGGACGCCAAAGTTGTTCTTCAGCTTTCGATGCTGTACAAATAGTTCGATTGTCGAAGCGTTTTAACATATTGTATATTGTTTAGTAGAGATAATGGTAATTTATTTTATCGTTGTAAATATGCGTATTTAATGGACCAACAAGCTACTGCCATTGTTCTAGTTGTATATGGTGTATTGAGAAAGGCGTTCAATGAGGAGTGAAAAAAAAGGACACAATTATTTATTTCTTATATTAAACACTCAATATAAAACGATATTAGGTATATAGTAACGATAATGAGTTGCGCTTAAATCGATGCGACATCTTCGATAAGCATGAAATTATGTGATATATTCTGATCGGCTGTCTGTTATATATATTTTATACCAAAATTTTATGCGTTTTTTAGAAGAAATATCGAACATGCTAGTTTCTCGCAGTTCTCTGTGACTTTACGCCCGTATACGGGGTCTTAATAAATTGATATCAGTATAAATATGTCGCCCCCCCCCCGCCCCCCGCCCCCTGGCACGTTCAGCACCATTGATAAGCGTTGCTTCAGGCGGGCTGTGTGTTTACGCCCGCTTGCAAACCTCGACCGTCTTACGCGTGCCTAAATTTGGTAGGCAAACGCTATACCCCTGCCTCACCTAGATTGGCACATAAAACAGTTTATGGCCCCTATTAATTGTGTCGAACATTATCAATTAGAGAACCCAATTCCGGCCAGCGGCGCACGGTAACGAGGGGTCACATCGAGAATTTCGTTACTGTATCACAAAATATGCTATTTTTTAATGCTGTTGTATTGCTTGAACGCTCAATACTACGAGAGATTAAAATCCTATGCGATAACTGTGTTGCAGATTATAGTTGTCCATGATATCGACTGGCTTGCAGCTAGCCAGCAACAGAATGCTAGTCACCACCATCTACCTGCGCCACCATCTTATCGCGTGTGTGTATTAGCATAGGCACCAGGGAACTTTGTCCACACCAACAACGTACGACGGGCTGAGTCAACGGTACAACGCTGACACAAGCACTGCCGAGATGAGGGTTCAGGTCTCGTTGGACGTACTTGCGAGTTACCTATTGTCAACACCACAGCGAATTGCCATTGTTGATTGCCAAATTTTATCACGATACCAATATCGATAACAATAAGCACCGTTAACTCTCACTAGCTAGCATTAATAAAGCCCAGTTAATTAAATTCAACCTTTGTTTTCCGTTGTTTCACTCTCGCCACTGGCCTTTTGCACGCCTTGCGTATTATGCGCACGTGGTCCAAATCGGATGCATTCATTTGCTTTACCCATACCCATTTGCTTATACATGCTGCTTATCAAAACAAGCTACCTAATGTCCGTATGTAATAGGACAACAATGATAAGAATGCCATTGAAAATGAACAGATGACTGTTCTAACGAATGATCGATGATTACACTCGCCGGACAGATTTAGGATAGTCAGTAGCAACTTAGTGGAAAGGCTATGTAGCTACGGAACATAGCGACATCCAACCAGTTCCTACAGCCTAGATCTGAGGGCCTCAAAAAAGTCAGCAGGCGCAGTGAGCAAGGCCAAAACAGAAAATTGTTTTAGCCTTTCTTTTTTTGCTCCTCAGCCCATGTCTAGACATTATGATGTTGGTATAGTATGCGAGTTATTGTACCAGGGAACCTATAGCAACATGAAGAACCCCGACGTAGTCGTTAGACGCACGTCAACATCAAATGAAGACGCACGAAGAGCGTATAATGTGGCCTGGCCAGTTATCTCGATCGTTTACGTAATCGCAGCCGTTATTTACGCAATAACCGAATCAAAAGGAGCTTTTCTTTCATTCAGAAATGGTGAGAAGAAAGTTTCTAACATGAAATTTGAAGCATTCCTTTTTTAGAGAAACATAAAAACCGGAAAACTCCTGCTTTATGATATGTTGTCGAATCATCGAACAAATATGATCCGACGAATAGGTCTAGATTTTAAGCTAATTCCGCGAAACGTTATGGAATCATCAGGAGCATATGGTTTGCGCTTTCTGATACATGAATGAACAGGGATGGTCTCTAGCATTTTGCGTTGCAACTAACACGACCAAGCCCACCTGCCAAACACTTTTGAACATTTTTGAGCCTTTGCAAAAACAGTGTTCAGTCTTAATATAAATCTCTCAGGGAAAGAATTCAGAGTTTCTACTCCAGGTCTAGTGACGTCTGTGCCGTTATTTCGTGTTTTATTCATTATGTTTCGTCTACAGGAGTTGAGTGTAAACGAGCCTTTTCATAGCCTAAAGAACCAATTGCACCTACTTTGATACAAAGTCTAGGGAAAATTTTTAATCTTTAGGTACATATCGTAATCAGTGTACGGATCAATAACCCTAAATACAGTATTTCCTTTTGATGGCTCCAGCCCTCTAACGGAGAACTTCAGACACACGTATTAGGTCATTATTGGCATTGGTGTTGGTTTTAAAAATGCGTGAAGGTCTGTACCTCCTGTATGACCGATCATTTTGTATCGAATGGAGTAACCCTTCGGATGCGCTCAACGGTTTCTATAAAATGGATTATCTAACGTTAGATTGAAGCTATTAGACATTCTGTGCACATAATTCAATTCCACGCTACGATACGACCCCGTTAACGTCAATACGGTAAACAATCCTGCATAAAACAACCGAGCTTGAGATCATCCATATATGATCTGTACATATTTTATATGTACTCACACATCTTCTTACAACAACGCAGTGACTATATTTACGCACCAGTTATTATTAAATAGTCTACATAAAACGGGAAATCGGAAAATAGATGAAACCATAATTATAATACGTAAGCAACAGTTGTCATAGAAGTGAAAAGGGCAATTCATATTAGACGAACTGCCCTTTTCATTTCTTCCCCCCCCCCCCCCCCCCTTTAGGATTATTTGGAGCGATTGTTACAACATGGATAAGTATTATTGAAAGATCCAATAAAACTGAAAACAGAGGATTTCATCTGGCGAAGCCCTTTTTCCCAGCGGTTATTGAAGTGAGTTACTCTGTCCGCGTGGTATACGACTGTCCGCTTTAAATAAAAATGAGTGCTAGTACAAAGTGAGTAAACAAATGAGGAGCAGTACAAATATTATTAGTGTACAAGAGAGTACTTTGTATTTAGGTCGTATTCTGGGCGCCCAACCAGATCACAGAACTAGGACGAAGGCTCACGATTGTTTCCCTGGTTCGATTGATGTCAGTGCGCCTTTTGTCATCTAAACTGAAACCATCATAACCTTTTTCACTTCGATCTGGAAAAGATTTTCATATAATGTCTTTTTCGAAAGGAATGTCAGAATCTGTTGAATATCCCTGAGCTGTTCCTACAGATGTCGCGTATGTCCTCATAACGTTTCTGCGTATAGCCAGCATCAGGCATTGACAGTGGAGAGATGACATCTCAAAATGATGCTATGTACGGTATCGTTTTCAAAATCAGGAAAGCAAATCTTTACCTAATTCATCTCGAAATGTTTGCACGTCCGCTAACCGTGATGTGATGCCATTTTGCTTTCCAAATTTTGACCTTCAAAGTTTTCGCTTCAACGTACGATTTGGTCTTTTCTTGCGGAGCAGCCCGTTCGTCGAGTCAGCTTGAGTCTTTCCAAACAAAGTCAATTCAAGTCTTCATTTTTAGCTATCGAAGGTCTATTTGGACCGTCTCTTCTCGAAGTCCGTCTTGAATAGGAATGAAGTGCTTAGCTGTTTTCGGTATGAAAATAATTCATAATGTATACGTGGAATGAAGGGGAACCTCAAAGGGGTCACTTGGCGTGAAATCAGTTCGACCTCATTCGTGCGAAATAAAAAAAAAAATGATTCTCTAGAGGGGTGGATTTCAAAGAATCAGAAGACCGTAACGTGGTAAAGTGAACAGTTTTCGGCCAGCGATGTTATATTATTTGTGTGTGAGCGTGCAAGTTAGTTTATAGTCGGTAGGGCGTCTCTTCCATCCCAAAATATGAGCTTGTATAAAACTACCTGAGGTTAAACAATGCCTCGATTTGTTTTGCACGATCCTCGCCAGATACACTATAAACGTACGTTGTTATTGAACTTCCATAACATTGCATAGCTTAAGATAAGTCTGTACACAACGCTACTGTGATTTAAATCGTTACAAATAATAAACAGTGCTTTCATTAAATCATACATGAAAAACACCAAGAGAACTTGAAAAAGTACATACCGTGTCCATAGAGATATAGCTCAAACGCAGCTCCACCGAAAAAGCCCTAAAGCAACGCTCGAATTGTACCCAAAATGGCGATCCTGATTAGTAACTGGCGTTATGTACGAGAAAGGACGAGAACGAAACAAAGCCATACAAAAATACAAATGCAAAACAGTTTAACAAATCGATCCTGATAATTTAATATATAACTAAATGCAAATAGAATATTAACAATAATAACGGATATAATTGTTAATCGCAAAAATGAAATTCAATGGATATAATGCAAATACAAGCCAAAAAAATATTATATCTCTACGAAACGTTAATAAAAATAAGAATTCTTAGCGTTCAGTAAGAACATGACCCAAAAGAGAGTTTCGGTGGGACCGATGGCAGTTCAGAATGAGTTGGCACAATATTGCTCTGGGTGCCGTGCATTATTAGTAAGATGATGACTTTCTGAAGACCATCCGAAGAGAAGCGGATACATAGGCGGCATGAATTTAGACTACGTGTGAAGTTTATTCAGATGCAATACGGAATGGTCCAGCATTAGATCTATAGTCATATCACAGTGAGAGAACTTAACAACTCTGACGATGAACAGATTGACAACTACGACCCCAGGTCCCATCGAGAAACAATCCCAGGAGAAAGAGAACCTCAAATATGACAGCTTGACTGAACTCGCTTAAATCGTTACTGAAGCAGTCGTGCCCAAGCTGACAACGACATCTATCTGGGCATAATAGAGGAAAGATCTACTCGAAGCGTTTCAGCTGGAATAAGATCAGGGCAACAGGCCGAAACTCACACGAGCACATCACAATTGTCGAATTTAGTGTGAACGTTTAGCAAACAATGTTACATTGTAAAATATATA